GCCCCATGGGCACCAGGAGGGACATGGGGCAGCAGGTGCCCCAGGCAGGACCCAAAGCCACCGGAGGGACCCACACTGCCACCACCAACCGGGCATCTGCAAAGAGAGACCATTACAGGGCTGCCCAGACACACCAGTTTAGCCGTCTGGAGATAACATAACGAGGCAGAAAACAGAAAATTCAGTATTTCAAAGACTCCCAGTGCAATAATCAGGTTTTTACGGTAAGCTCAACATTTCACACTTGGCGGTGCCTGCAGAGATCTTCTCCACCAGCAAAGACACTGACACAGGCAACCTATTTCTCCAGCCTTCTCAGCTCTGCAATGCAGCTTTCTTAAATATTGAATAAGTCTGCTGCTCTACACCACCTGCCAGTGCCAATGATGAGGTAATTTTTGCATTGAGAAAGCCTAATGCGATTAATCTGGTTTGAAAGAGCAGGTTTTAGAGCCTGTCCATTCACTCGGCGAAACACACTTGCAGACAGAGCATTGGCAGCAGCTTCTTATTCACCACCAGCAGCCAGACCCCAAACAAATAACCCAAACTGCTGCTCAGATGCCAAGTGAGAGGTTATTTCTGCGTGTCATCACCAAACAGGAGGTTTTGAACTTGAACGGATCCAAACACCAGGCTGATGGGGTTTTCACACCAGCTCCAAGGCCAGCCCGCGCATGGGAGCTGATTTACGCTCACCAGCTGGATGGTGGAGCTGGGGAAGGGGAGGGAAAAACAGGGTATGAGCATGTGATTGTCTGATGGGGCTCCCCAGCCCCACACCCAGGGAGAAGGGGTGTGTATTTTGGGGTGACAAAGACCCATTGGGAACCCCCCCAGCCGAGCAGTGAGAAGAGCGAATGCAGAAGCCGGGACGCGCCAGCAGCCCTGGGATGGGAACCGTGTGTCTCCCAGCAGGCACAAGCATCCCCAAACACCATTTTTAGGTGGTGCTCTCTCCCAGCTAGCGGCAACATTTGCTGCCATCTCACGAGTCCATCAGGGCCGGATCCTGCCCTCCTCCACGCCCCGGCACCAGGGCCGGTGCCTGGTGCCCAGAAGAGCTGTGCAAGCCGCAGGGGACCCCAGGTCCCGGCTGGAGCCCTGGTGCAGACGCTCTGCACCCTGCGTCCAACTCTGCCCCGAGCACCTCGCAACACCCAGGCTCTTTGTTTCCCAGGAAAAGGAGTTTGCCCAGCACAGGAGCCACGCACACCCCACAGCATCCCCTATGGCGTACGTGCACAGCTATAGGGGCTACAGAGAGCTGCCCGAGCAGACAGCGGGGTGCTCACTCCCCTCCAGGATCAGGCAGGATTCGGTACTAATGGATTTACCTGCAGAGGGGGGAAAAAAAAAAAAGGTATAAATAGCCCCAAAACAACTGCTGAAGCAGCCGTGTAATGCTGCAAAATAATCAGCAGATGAGATGGAGGGGCAGGAGGGCAGCCCAGCCCCTCAGGGTCCCGCACACCGAAAAGTCCCTCAAATCCCAACATCCCCGGGCAGCCAGCATCCGCGCTTTGTCTCATCT